CCCCAAAACCCCAAAACCCCAAAACCCCGGGAAGTCATCTCAACATTGAATAGTCTTATTAAAGGTTTAAATTCAATAGCAAGTCTAATGTATCAATTTCCGATTCACCCCTAATATTAAACGATCAACCCATACTTTCAATCCGGTTAGCATACTACAAGATTTATTCACTTCTTGAGTAAGGCTAAAAATATAAAAAGCACTTTGAAGATTCCTAAAAGTTATCTTGTCATTCTGGTAACTCATCCAACAGCATCCAAAGATTCTGTCAATCTCCAAATAGCCAATACTTAATAACAATTGCCAGCCCCTATCACTGACTCATATCGGCATCAAATCTGGTTTATAGCTCATAAAATTAAGCTGGCATTATTCTGTCCGATAAAATTCATTCTCCCCATATTAATACCATTCTTGGTTAAGACAAGCCCTGATTTGTGGAGTTTAATCTAGCATTGTGGTAAACATTGCTTAAGTGTTCTTCTGAGAGTAAAGAAAGAATTATGGCTGCACTTTATGGATCCAAGAATGCTCTCTTGTTCTGCTAAGGATAAAAATACAACACTCAAAATTCATGTATCACACAACATCTGACTTTAGGCAGCCTGATGAGCTTAAGTATGCCAAATAGATGATTATAAGTGTTCATGAATTTCAGGTTTAATGGCAGATTAAGCTATGCAAATTAACTCATTATTTTAGTTTCTGCTTAAACCACGAAAATCTATCCAGATATGTCGCACAGCCAATCTCTATTTCAATATCTGCTCCCACTTTGGTTTTAATAAGCTTCTTGATCAACTTCACGAGGTTATGATAAACTGAGTTATATTTTTGTTCGATAGAAATATCAATAGAGTTCAGACAAGGAAGAGTCTCTAGAACTCTGAACAACTTCTTCATGGGCTTTACAACTTTACCTTCGATTAACTCTCCCTCTATCATCAGTTCCAACGTCTCAAGGTTGGTCTGGGTTTCTAGTCAACTAACAAGCCTGCCAAGCATTTCTGAGGTTTCGATATTTTCACTAATAATCAGGGATCTCAAATTTTTTCTCTTAAGGACTCCAAAACATTTGGAGAGATTTACTCGGTTTAGATTTCTGTAATCTTCTATCTCTTGACAGGTAAGCTCCAAGCTAATTTTAGTGTCTTTATGTAAATATCAAACCCTATTCAATAGTCCTTTTGCCAACTTGTAAGCTGAACATTTGATAAAAACTGTCAAAGTCTCTTCAGGAAGACTTTTAAGGTCCTTTTGCAATATTTTTCTAAGTATAGCATTGGCTTTATAAATTTTATCTCTGGGAATGATGATTGTGCCTGGCTCTAGAATGCTTCTGTTGATGCCATTATTATCTATAGAGAGAATACTAATAATTTGACCTTTCATATAGATGTGTTTCAAATTGAATAATATACAGTCTTCCTCAGTGGTGAATCCCTTTATAAAATCTAATTTCAAATTATCCATGACAAGGGCTTCATTTCCAAAGACAAGAAATCCAAGATTAGCCCAAACACTATGCTTTGATACATCTAGTTTTCAGTTATTTCAGAGTTAGTTTGAGGCCTTTTTCCTTACACCTCTGGAGTAAAGGGTTTAGTCCCATGACTAAGTATTTTTCAGCTTCGATGAGTCTATTATAGAAATAGCTCTCCAATTTGAGTCATATTTCTGTGAGCCGAGATGGATATTTTTGAGCATCCTGTTGCCAATCTTTGAGTTTCTCAGAAATTCTCATTAAAGCATCTCATTCATATTTAACATTGTCTCCAGGCATTATGAGATTCAAGTTTGAAGGGATGATTCTCTCACAGATTTGGCCAATGGTAACTCCATCAATAAGGATTAAAAAATTTGTCACACTTAGTTCTCTCATTGCAAAGTTTCAATAGATATTAAAATCTCAAAGCCCTAAAATTGGATAGTCGTCACAAGAGTCTAGTTCTCCATCCTCATCTATTTTAAATACGAGACAATCTGCTCCGTAAGCAAACATTTTGGGTGTGACAAAGTACTTTCAACCTCCAAATTCACGAGTTTCTAATTCTTGTCCAAAAAGGTTGGTCAAATTTTGCAGCGTGTATAACCGCACAGAAGGAGAGCATTTTGATCTGTAAGCTCTGTAATAACCTCATTGGATATTTTTGATTGTTACATTCTGCATATTGATGTCTCCTAATATGTCCTTAAATATCCTGTACAAAGATAAAATTTCAAGTTTCTATTTTGATTTCTAGCTGGTACAATTCAGAGAAGCCGCTCTCCATAAATTTCCAAAATATCGAATCTGCCATTCATGGTTTAAAGACCTCATCAATCATAATAATAGTAAACTCCAATGGCTTCTTCAGCAAGAAACTGGTTTTGCCCTGTTCTTCAGGGTCGTTTCTCAACAATATGTGCTTTTTCAGGTTCCAGAGACTCCTTGAGGCTCTCCTGAGCTGAGTCATGAGCATCTGACAATCGTCTGCAAATCCATAGTAGGGCAAGATCTTTGAAGCCAACGGAAGAGTTGTTAGAAACTCTTTGCGAACATTTTATGGCTGCGGTGTCTTCAACATTTCCATTATGCTCTGAGTTGGTGGAATGCTTATATTTACTCTAAGTTCTAATATTTAGCCCATACGAGAACTTACTGAGCTTCACTTTCAATATAGCTTGAGTTTATTCCAAGTTCATCACAAAATTTGCTTGAAAATAGGATTGAAAGATTCTCATCCAAATTTTATTCTGTTTAAACATAATTTCCTCAAAGATGCTTTAACTCATTTCAGATTGGTGCTGCTCTTTCAAAATTCAGACTAATCGATTTATGAATGGTATTGGTTCTCCATAGTCTACTTAATATGGATTGCTAATACAATAAATTAATTATAGAGCATTAGACCATGCTCAATTACAAGTTTAACCAATTTATTACTTCTCCTGAAGAGGATGATAAACCATTAAAATTTTAAAGAACCTCATTTCTCCTTTTAACAATTCAGCTGTCTTTAGAATAACCTAAACAGAGGGTTACTTCTGTTCGAGGGTATGGCATTCAGAAGTATGAGAGCCTTACAAAGCCTATAGCTGGAATTGAAACTTATCGGTCTAACCGACCTTCTAGAAATTATGAATCCATAAGCAGCTTCTTATTTGTATGCAAACAATCTGTGCTAAAATTTGCAAAGACCAATCCTGTATTATAACCAAAATGTTTATTATCATTGAGACATAGTCTATTTTCTAATTTTGAGGACCAACCAAGATAATAGTTTGAGCCATTTTAATACAAATCTCTAAGTTTATGCTTCTAGTGATAACTTCCTGGTCAACTTCTCAAAGCTATCATCAAACTATTAAGCTGAATCAGAAGCTTAAATATTAATAAAATCTAGGCTTGGATAACTCTCTAAAGTGTGGAATAGCTTCTCTATAGACTCCTTTGATAAATTTGTGACTAAACTTTCAGAGGCCATAAAGTTTAATTATTGGAGGATATATCTGGGTTGGAGGAAATCAACGAGGCTATTAAGCATACTTTCATTTAGTAGGTCCTCTTCTATCTTCTGAAAATAGGTCCTTTGATTCTATCATTGCAATGAAATAACCTCAATGTTGTATATAACAGAGACTGGAATATGGCTACGTTTTATGGGTCAAAGAATTCCATCTTTCTCTGTTAATAATATGTAGAGCCATAAGAGCATTAATGAAGTTCATGCATATTATCAGAACGGATTAGTCAATGCAATATGTAAGGAAGACTGACCCGAAGCTCTACAATTCTAGAGGGATGTCTGACCTATATACATTGTCTTAGACTCCCATGAATCAGAAACTATATATATTATTGAAGCCACTAAAAATTTAGATGCAACCCATACTTCCTATTTGAAATTAATGGGGTATGAGTCTTATACACAGAAGGAATTTTGTGGTTATTATAGTCTTACTCTGAAAATACAACACTGAAAACTTAAAGAAAGATTAAAAGATGATTCGTGCAGTCTAAAATTATTTTAAAACCTGATAAAGAATTATAAGCTTCCTTGAACTTAAGGTTTTATGAGGAAGAAGAATGTCAAAGTTTCTAATTATTTCAATAAAAGTGTTTAATAATGGGGTTTTGGGGTTTTGGGGTTTTGGGGTTTTGGGG